AATATTTTCTATATAGAATGATAATGAACTAGGTATATATACATATCATTTTCGTTAAATTTATAACTAAGAGATCTAGGGAAATATAAGTTATTTAATCTTAGGATGGTAGCTTCAAAGTTAGGATTCTTAATTTAAAAATATATTAACATTAAATAAAAAATACTATTTTATTACATTTTTATTAATTTTAATTTATCCTTTTAAAAGATTTTCGTTCGAGATTAATCAATTATCTATTACGAATCCGATTATTATTTGGTTTCGCTTTGATTTCGAACGATTGTATATATATGTTTTTATAAAAATGATTACTTTCATTTGTTTTTTTCAATAATATACATATAAATAAAAATAAAAATTTTTTTTTAATTATATTTCTCGTAAAACTTGCATATAAAATAAATAAAATGATATTCGACAACTGATAACATTATAGGCAAAAATAATAGATACTGGAAGAAGGACAAAGATAAAGTAAAAATATTGAAATTAACTTTATTTTCAAAATGTTGCAAATAAAATTCATAAAGAAAGAACAGAAAATGGTAAAAAGAAAAATAGAATTAAATATCAACGCCATCTCTGCATCTTTTTAAAAGATGATTGTTTAAACAAATATCTTTTGTCCTCAAGAGATGGCACTAATAATCAATTCTTATCTCTATCTTTTACTATTTTCTGTTTCTTTGTAAGTTTATTTTCGCTGTTCTAAGTAAATATACACAGGAAAGATATAAATACTGAAATCAATGTCATCTTCAAAGTGCTGCAAATGAAACTCAAATATATTGATAAAGAAAACAAATAATAGAAAAAGGATAGAAATAAAGCAAGAATTAATTCTTAGTACCATCTCTGAGAATGCTTCTAGAATTATTCTTTGAAAAAATATCTTTAGTTCTTAAGAGATGACGCTGACGGTCAATTCCTATCTCTCTCTATCCTTTTCTAACTATTTTCTGTCCTTTCTTTGTGAGTTTCATTTGCGGCACTCTGAAGATGGCGTTGATTTCAGTATTTTTACTCTATTTCTGTCCTTTTTTCATCATCTACTATTCTTGTCTGTAACGTTAGGAAGAAACATTATCTCACTTATCATTTTATAATACATTCATAAGATTTAGGGATGTTAAAATAAAAAAAAAGATAATTTTATTATTGTACATCCTATATACATATATATGCATTCTTATGATATGTGGGAAATAAGTGTCACAGCAATAATTTTTGTAAAAATCTTTTTATTCATTTCATTATTATTATATCTTTTAGAACTATTGCACTTTTATTTATTCGCGCGCGACATACAGAAAAATTGTATAAATAATCAGTTATTAATTTGACATTTAAAAATTGTTAATTTTTTTTTGTTAAAAAATTTCAACATAAAAATATATAATAATTATTGAAAAACTGTTAATCTTGAACTTGAGTATTTATCATTTATTTAGTTTTCGTTACTTTCACGAATAAAAATCGAACAAACAAAAAAATATCTTCTAATTCATCTATAACACATAATCTCTTCTACATAATTTCCATATCTATCATATTTCCTCAAAATATGAATAAAAAGATCTAGTAATCTTTAATTAATTATAATTCTTTATTCTCTTCAATTATAATTCTTTGTACAACTCAATGGTCAAGGTTATATATATATCTGCTTTCCGACCAATGTATTCATCTTGAAAAAAAGTAAAAGGAAGAACTACTTACCACTAACTATGACAACGGTGTCCAAAGAGAATCAGACATCTCCGTTGTTTCGGATTTCAGAGTGATATCTCGTTGGACGTAAGAGGGATTCGAAGAGGAAGACTCGTGTTGGTGAAGCAAGAAAAAAAGAAAAGAGGAAAAATGAGAGAGAGAGAGATAGAGAGAGCGAAAGAAAGTACAGAAGAGGTCGAGCGAGAAGTGGAGGAGGACGGGGACGAAGAGAGACGGCGCGGGCGCTGATTGGTAGCAGAATCGATTAGCCGAGCCGAGCTAAACCTCCGGCACCGCGGCAGCTTCGGCGACGCCACGAATTTCCCGAATGGGGGTTCCCGTTGGGGCGGGCCCGAATCCAGGGAATACTCGGCGTTCTCCATGGCAACCCAACCAATTCGCCAACCGCTGACAACCAAGAGACTGACCTACCGTGTGTTGCTTACATTTTTACCCTCTTTTACTTTCCCTTCTTTTTTTCTCCTTTTACCTCTTTCTATCCATCCTTTCCATCGTGGAAACTTCCAATCCGCTTTTCATCCTATCGTCCTTTGTATCCTCTTCTTTCTCCATTCTTTTTTCGTTTCGTTTCGCTTCGTTCACGTTCGAAGAGGGGGAAAGGGAGAAACAATACCTCTTCTCTCCAACATCGTCGATCTAACTTTCCAAGCGCAAAACTCATTCTCACATGCTTGTTATACAAACTTGTGCCTATATATGCGTGACAGTATGCGTATATACATAGGGATGCGAGAGTCAACATTGATTTTGCCGACGACTGATACAACCCCGTCGGCACGTTTAATTAGAACATGGCGACTTTAATACAAGCGCACGACAACAAGAACAACAACAGCGCCCCTTCCCACCCACCCGCTCTCTCTTTCTCCACCTTTACACCGCCTTCTCGTTCATCCACACACGCTTCCACGATATATTTCGCGATTTTTTTTCCACTTACGATCTTTCGAATCGACGAAAACTCGTTTTCTTTCCGTTAATCTATCGAAGGGGTCGCTTATCTACCTAGCCTAACGCGGTCTATGCTAGTGCCAAACACCCCTCTCTCTCTCTCTCATCCATCATTGTCATCGTCGTCATCGTCATCGTTTATTATTATTATCATCCTAGTATTCCAGTTTGCTCGAATCACGCCCACTCCTCTTTACATCACTCACTCACGTCACTCGTCATACATATACGCGATTCTCGTTTCCCTTTGTTCAATCTTCCTCCTCTCTCACGCTTTCTTCTCTCGTTCTTTTTTTATCACGCATACATCCACACACACACACATACATACATATACACGTGCAATGGGATCACACAGGACGCATCAGAACCGAGATACGATGTTCCCTGGGTTAACGTAACGATATTTTTACTTAATTGAACGCTTGTAAAGTTTTTTGGAGATACGAATACTTGTATTTATAAAAATAAGTAAAGCAGGTAATGATATTAAAGTAGATATAAATTTGCAACAACGATATCAAACTATACGAGGAGGAGAAACGTTACTCTGGGAACACCGTACATACATGTATCCAATGTATACATTCTCGCGCTAAAGACTATATTCTCTACACGCCTAAGCTACACATGAAAACATCCTATCTACATTAGAGCCAATCGACATTCCACGGAGTCAGTTTATTGTTACTTCTTTTTTTTTCTGTTCTTTTTCTTTTACTCTTATTTTTCTTTGCTCTCGTTTTATATATATATATATATTTTTTTTTCTGGAAAAAAGACGAAGAAAAACTCGGACGGGGACAAACGTCGTTTTCCCGTCCTGGAGAGAGAAGAACGATCGTCAGTTTTTTAGTCGACTCCGAGGAACGCTCGACAGTTTGTTACGTCTAATCGTTAGAGTAATTCTAAGGTTTGCTTATGTCTTACGAATGGTATGATACAGTATACGACTTAAGGAGTTACTCGCTTCATCGACAAAGGTACACCTTTCCACAATGAGGGGTAAGTTCCATTTTTCCCCCTTTCCTTCTTTTTTTTTTTTCTTCTTTTTATTTAATCTTGTCTTAATTTAAGGATCCACGGTCGATAACTAGGAATCGATTGGAGACCTACCCCTGTGTTCCGTGCATAGATAGAGCGACCGCATCTCTCGACTTATCGACTGAAAATCGATGTGATGAACGCGGATCTCGTACGTTCCGTTTTTTTTTTTTTTTTGTATATGACTCGACGTTGTACTTTATCAGTCCCGATAATTGCGACTCGTGCTTCCGGTTCCATCGATGGATTCGCGCTCACCCGGTATTCGTCCATTATGCCATTATTGCCTTCTTTGGTGTCGGTTTCGCGGCCAAGGAGAACTTCTCGAATTACCACTTCAGATCTATTTTTACCTTCAAAGTTAAAAACACGTTGCAAAGAGTTCCTGAGCTGAGTTAAGATTAAAGAAGAATATTTCCATTCAATGATTGTCTTTCACTTGTGTTGTAATTCGACTTAAACGACATTCGCTTTTCAACAATCGGTTTTCTTCTTAGCTTTCAAAATTAACGAATTTTTTTCCAGGATTTTCGAAGAGTTGCGTTGCTATCACCGGGTGAACCGAGACGGTTGCACGATTCGTCCATTTGGAAATTTACTTCGATCGTACTTCTCGCGTCTTGCTTCGTTGTGAACGTGTGTGTATTCGCGTTTTTTTTTTTCTTTATTCTTTCCAGTTATTCTTAGAAAACGACGACATGCGGTTCCTCTATCTACGTTACTCGTTACCGTAACAAATAAGTTAAAAGAGTTTATAATACACGCATTGCTCTTGGCCCGAATCGAACATGTACATATTTCTCGCGTAGAACGATCAAGCTTATTTTGAATGTCGATTATCGTTATGGGTTCGTGTGTATGTAAATGTGTGTATGTGTGCCGCGTGGGTGGTTGATTGGTTGGTTCATTGTTATCATCGACAGTTCGACGAACCGTTCACGAAATTGTTCGATCGCGCCACTAAACGGGGATATACGCCTCGTTAAAATGCGCATGTTCGATTCCATCCAGTCGGAAACGGCGACATTTCTCAGCGGAAGTACGCCGGTTTGTTATTCGCGTACAAGGCGACGTCCTTTCAGGACGGGATAATTCTCGACACGCGGTTTATCGCGGCGTTATCATATAAATAATTAGATTTGAGAACGGGAACAAAATTTTTTCAGGGGGGTTAAAAAATCTTTGGAATATTTCGATAATATTTTCTCGAAAATTTCTAATGAGAAAAAGAAAAAGAAAGAGAATTTAGAGAGATCGATTTAAAAATTCAGTTAATCAACGTGAGAAATTGTATTTTTCTAGAAAAAATTATTTATTGTGTCGGCAATAATCCGACGAGGTGATGATCCGTCGAGATAAAACGAGAATAACGAGAATAACGTCTTGCGAACGTACCCTGTACTTACTTGTAATCCATTATATTGTATGTACAATGTTCTTACAATAAATTCGAGCGCACCGTCGACCGTGAAACGAAAAAACGTTTGGAGTGGCGCAGCGCGTGGTCGTCGATATTTACTCGTCCTTGGTCGCTGTTCGCTTTCACAAAAAAAAAAAAAAAAAAAAATAAAAAGAGAGAACTTAAGTATGCTGTTTACTTTTTGGATCGTTTAATCTGTCCACGAACACCCCGATGTTAAAGGATATATAAAGATAAAGGATACAACGTTTCGCGATTTACAACATCGCCTACTTATAATATCCTTATAAACGAAAAGGATCTTTATTAACTGTTCTATATAACTTCATGATTTGATCGCGACACTTTTACAATATGTAGATAACTTATTTACAATAATTATATATGATACAATGGAATAATTCGTTAACAAAGATTGAAAGTTTGTTTTTTAGTTCTTCTGAAAAAAAAAATAATAAATAAATAAATAAATAAAAATCGATAAGGGTAAGTTTTTGTTAGGGATGTTTTGACTTTTGATTTTTCTTTTAATAATGGATGATGCAGTAGTACAGATTACGATACAGTGAGATTGAAAAAAAAGAAAAAGGGAGGAGAAGGTTATATATTTAAAATTGGATATGTATCGGTGTAATTGTGCAATCTTAAATAGCTATTATTATAATACTACCGAGTTAAAAAGTTTTTTTGAAAAATTTTTTGTATCTCGGTTTCGATTCTAGGTAACGAGTCTTGTTCCAATACGACATGTATTATACGATAATGTTGCCTTCGAACGGAGAAAACAAGAAAGAGATATCGTTATTATTCCATCCCTCACCGGTACTAGCCGCTCATCCCATAACAACTTCGAATTCACTTCTACATCCACGTTTCGACGAACAAAACGATTCAATTTTTTTCAGAAATATCGAATCCAATGACGCGTTCACTTTTTACTTTTCTTACTTTATATAATTTAACACTATTAAAAAAAAAAATCTGTCTTCAATCGATATCATTTTAACGAAACAATATGTTCCTACGATGAACAATCCTCTCTCCCTCCCTCCTCCCCTTCCTCACTACAAAAAAGAAGGAAGAAAAAAAAATGATAAAAGTAAAAAAAAAAAAAAAAAAAAATAATCGCAAGAGGACAGATAAAACGATTGTTAGGGAGAAGGACGAAGGACTGGGAAGAGACCGTGTGGAAAATCGCGTAGGTGTGGTCGACACCGGCCGACGGCGGCGCGCGTAGACCGCGATGGCGGCGGTCGGTTAAATTGCCTCGAGTAGAAAGTTGTTAACGTGGCGTACCCAGGGCGCTCCAGTGCTCGGCGGTGGGTCATGCGTAATGCGGATAGGTGCCCAGATGAGGCGGCACATGGCCGGAGGCCGTGTGGTGGCCCGCGTACAGGTTTGCGCCCGGGCTCGTTGACCAGTAGCTGGAGGCAGATTGGAAAAGCCCCCCTGGAACGGAGACCGAGACGGAGGCGGCCGGTGGCGGCATAAGGTTTAACTTGGCGTGTCCGTAACCGGACATGAACAGCTCGCTTTGGTACTTGTAGGCGGCCGGATCCGCGGCGGCGGGCTGCGTCGCTGCCGCCAGACCTTGGAAGTCGAACTTGTACGCGTACCTCTTCCCGTGGACTTTCGTCATGATGTTCTTGTCGTAGTAATACCTGGGAAAACGAAGATATTGTTACAAGATGCGAAAAAGTTTTTGTTAGTTCGAAAAATTCTCGAGAGGAGGCGCTCGTTCGCTTTCAGGTTGTGCAAGTGTGCGAGCCGGATTGCTCGGCGACAGGCGTCTATTGTTCACTGCTGGAAAAAAGTCTCTGCGTAGAATGGTCCACTTTGTTCGACATAGCGATATATCCAAAATCATAAAAATCTACAGTATGTCTAGCTTCGTACATAATTATTATCTTAATTATTCAAGTGAAATTACATTTATAAATTATATAACTATCGTTATAAATTGTAATTAGCCTATTACGCACATTATATTAATACGTTAGAATTCTTTGGATTCTATGCCTACGTTAATGCATTGAGATTTAGATGCGTCCCATTAAATTAGTATATGTGACAAATCCATTCCAAATTAACCAATCAGGCATTCTTTTTGATTTCTTTTCGAGCAGTGAACAGTAGATGTGCAAGCCGGGTTGCTCGACGACCGGCGTCTAAATAGATGTGCAAGTCGGGTTGCTCGATGATAGGCGTCTAAGTAGGTATGCAAGCCGGGTTGCTCGACGACAAGCATTTTAGTGTGTATCTTCGATCTAATTAATTAAATTAGAGAAAGAACGTAAGTTTTATTACAACTTTTCGTCATAGATTTTACCTACGAAAGAATCATTGCAATTTTTCGTAGGGATTTTTAACAAAAAATTGAAGCTATACAGCCTTCATTATTCTTTCTTAGCATGATTTTGCTAGAGATATGTGATCGAGCAAATAGATACCGTCGTAAACCAAGGATTTTACGAACGCGTCGTAAAAATTTCCGCGCATAAGATTCTTATTTAATAAATTTTATTCGCCAAGACCGATAACGACTCGGTTTCTGCGGCGACTCGGAAACGCCTTTCGCTTTTTTATTTCTTTTTTTTTTTTCTATTTTTATTTTCTTTTCCATCGAGTTATTGTCGCGCACCACAGCCTAAAAGTTGCCTGCGTTCAACGTGAAGGGATGCCGCCGATACTGATATAGGGAACAGGATAAAAACAGAAGAAACAAGAGAAACAGAGAGGAGAGAAAGAGAGAGAGAGAGAGAGAGAGAGAGAGAGAGAGAGGTGGA